CAGAAGACTACCTTCACTGTGAAGAAGACTACCTTCCCCTCTCTTTCGGTGCCAGTCTACTATTGGCTAAACGGTCAGGAAATTTTTCAGGATAGATACTATGTTTCTTGAAATCTATCATTCTTCCACAAAGCGGTACGCTAGACTCCAAGAGCCAATGGAAAACCGAGCAAGAGTGACGCTACGAGAAGGATTTACTTGTAGACAGACCAGCCAACGTCCTTTGCTGGCCTTTCGTAACTATAAAGGCTCAAAATATAGAAGATAAATATGTGGAGAAGATTTGGTAACAAGGGAATGAACTTTAAGCATTATAATCTAGAGTACAAGATTTTTAAATTTTGCATCCTATTTTTGATAGGAAGGGAGAGGAAGAGTTATCAAAAGGTATGAACACTTAACGCTTTAAAAGTGCCTTAATTTAATTAGAAATGTTTGGCCCGTTTCAAAGGGCTCTTGAATTCTTCCATCGGAAACGATTGCGTGTATGTATGATTTATTCAAGCAGGATAAAGCAGATCGTTCTGTACAAATTTTGTAGCATACTTTACGATAGCTTTACCCTCCAACGATTTAAATGCTATTGATCGCTCGATTCCTCACATATTTTATGAATTAATTGAAAATTTAAAGCTGCGAAAGTGCTCAGGATATTCAATTTCAAATCATTTCAAGATAAAATAATTCGGTGATAAAAACTCAACTATTGGTTTTCTCTGCAAAACATTTTCATTACAATTTTCTGAATTCTATAAATATTTACTTTTCTTTAAATATTTCATTTAGTTTTTGGCCGCATCAAATGTTTTAGGGATGGCAATTTTTCAGACATTTTCAATAATGCTATACAGTTAATGAAACCAAAAAAAATGAATACAGTTAATTATAAAATAAATTACTAAGTTCAACTTTTAAATAATATTTCACTCGCAGCCTCGTTTGCAGTCAAAGGAATAAGTTAAGGAAAAAATTGATTCATGATTTATAAACCAACTAGTAAGTTATCCAGAGATCGATATAATTATCAGTGCACTTTTATAATCCCGTTAAAATGGACCACATCTATGCTCAGTAAAGAAAGGCACGTTCAAACCCACATTTCACGTGGAACTTTCTATCTTGCTCACGTTCAATAATGTGAAATTTTGCGACCAACAAGTTCAATTAAGTAATCGTACCTGTTAAAATATTTTCATTAATGCTAATCAATAAAATCTTTGTGAGTTTCTGGAAAAGATGGAATTGATTTATCTCCATTTTTTAAATACTAGTGGCGGAACGGAAGCCAAAACTTCTTAAGAGAGATTTATGATTTACATATCGAATTTAAATGTTAGGGAAATGTAAAGTTATATCAAATTAGCTTTGATTAACGTGGCTCGAATGAGCTTTTTAATGATTAAAGATGTCATTATATTAATGTCCCCATTCATTGGTCACAATCGGCGAATAAACAAATCGCAATAAATAATACCTTTGATAACTCATTAGTGCAGCCCAAAGGCTGGGTCGATCTGAAACTAACCGACTTAGGCAAGTAGTCTGGAACAAAGCGATCTTTTAGTGAACGAACTTGACTCAATAAGATAGTCTGGTCATACCATTTAGAAGTAAACGCTTTTATCATTCAAAAACATTGAGCCTCTATCTATCTCTTGTAAAGTTGATCACACTTCAGTTTGCATCACCAACAGGATTACATTTCCTGTTAGTCATGCAAGCAAAATAATTTTGTATTTGCGAAATAATTTTGTATATCGCTTATTATTAAATGTTTACTTCAATTTACCAGTTAATCTATCATCTATTAGACACTTGACCAAACACCAAGGGATTGTAGGGGTCAATGAAAATCGGCATGATATAAAACGAACATCTGTATTAAAATTTTCATCTATTTACACTTGGATCACAATGCTACTTGGAACCTCCAACTAAACCTGCTGCCCTCAATGGCATCCTCTGTATGAATTCATGATGACATGAATTCATGTCATCATGACGTCATCATGTTGTTGACGTGATGACGTCAACAACATGATCGCACATGTTCTGCTCTGCAAGAATGCATAACCTTCCGTTTGCATAAATGAATAGGTCTGCAGCCAGGATGACGTCATTAGCCCAGAAACAAGGTTTTCATCATCAATGCAAAATCATGAGCATTAATGAACGGCGTCTCCAGCATGACCGTACGACGTCGACATCATAATAGTAAGACGTCTTGATCATAAATGAACGAGTATTACTGCACTGCGTTTGCGGAAATACTGCTCGACGTTTCGAACATTAATGCACGACGTCTACCTGCAGCAGCACTGCTGTACGACTTCTTCGGAACGATTCCGCGACGTTTTTCGCGTGAATAATTCCAACGTGCACGAGGCCATCATCATCAGCAATGAGTCTCGAAAACAAATCTCGATGAAGTTCCATCAAAATCAAAGCCAGTTACGGAAACTTCGTATAACATCCTTAACTAATGAGTTGAAACATTTTTATAAAGAAGGCAAATAAGAGAATATGAGGCATGTTGTAACTTCACTTTTTTCTGAAAATTCCGCATAAAAAACCTTGCAATTTTGCAATTGACTGCAACAATAATTGGCGTATAAACAAAGTAATCGATTAAACACCGCAACGTGACACGATGAATCTCACAGATGATTACTAAATTGAACCGAATTCACAGAACTAATAAAACTTTATCACACGTAAAAAATGCGAAAGCTGAATATTGCTGATGGAATAATAATTTTTGTGCAAGGTCTTAGCTCTAAAAAGAATGAGAGTGTCAATAACACATCAGCCAATTCTACCGAGCGCTTCGAATTGAAGCTTTTAATCACAGACCTAATACACGTACTTTCAGCCATGGTGAAAATCACGATATCAAAGTATTTTTAAACTTTCGAAGTTAAACTTATCCCTGCACCTCACGGTGCCAAAGCCGGCCACATCATACGCACCTACAAAGAGACTTCATAAAAATTACTCGGAAAAACTTGAGCCACAGCATTACGTTACAATCCTATTCTAACTACGCTATATTTAAGCACTTTGACTTGCATGAAAACATCGGTTCATTGTAAGATATCATTCGTTCAAAAATAGCCATTGAAACCTAACAGGAACGACCACTTGCTTGCGAAACCAAAGTGGAAAACTATGATGATTTTCGGTGCTGTGAGAAAACGCTGGTTAGTAATGTTTGAATCAGCAGTTTTGTACACAAATTAAATTTTCATGGAGCTCAGACATAAATTCTTGGCTTACAGTCCGTACATTGATTGTCAGTGAAATACATGACCCAATATAAAGCATTTTTCTCAAACATAGAAGACAACGAATTACAAAATTTACACGACCACCGAGAATCTATTTTCGTCATGAGTATAAAAACTATATTTTTGCGTTATTACAGTTGGAAAGGAAAGGAATTTACACAGATCATCAACAGACATGAAAATAAGAAAGAAAATTGAGATAAACAAACCCCTTGCATTAGATCACGAAGCCTTCTTGAAATTCACTAAAATTTACCACAAAATGTAAGCTTCTTGACGCGTTCCATGTTTCATGTTACCACCAGGGCACTTCCTGCACGAACGTACATCAACAGCTATCCCGCATCATGTAAAATGCAACAAATCTTTTCACTATACGAGGGCCAAACCTCCTAGAGGATTCTCGAGAAACGAGATCAATATTGCCTTTATTGCGGGAGGGGGTGGTCAATCCTTTACAGCTAAGAACCTGGCAGTTGACGTGTACAAGGTATAAAGGATTTTTTATGCTTTGTTACTGTTCATGATGTTGGCTGGATTACGCTAACTTGTATGCTGCATACCACAGATTTTTCATTTTAAAGATGGTCCACCGAATTCATTATTATTTTTTAACGCACAGGGTTAGAGGAGTGGGACTTCATTGCAACACAACTACATCACCAAGGGTCGTCAGCACTGCAGTAAGTCGAGGGTATAATCTATGATAAATAATTGCCAAATAAAACCGGGATTTTTAGCTCCTGTCGTGGCCGTTCGGTTCCTACGAATCAATTAGTTGATAGAGAAAGACTTATTATTAAAATATATTATACTATTATGACTTTTCCATTTCAAGGTATTCAATAATTACGTTGCAAGCGAACACAAAGTTCTTTTTTGTTTCAATGTTTGAAATGGTTTTTTACACCTGAATTACTGCAGTATAAACGATATTATTATCGTTATCTTTAATACAAAGTAGCACCAACACGAACGAACGAACGAATATAGAAGACTCTAGATTCCTCAGGCTAAGCGAAGCTAATTCCTATGTTATTTACAAAGGAAATTTTAGGTCTAAATGAACAAAGAGATATTTTAATTCACTAGTAATATTCTGATATGGATAATCTCTGACCTACATAGCACTTGTAAATAATTACAAGCTCTGGATGAGAATTGAAAAAAATAGCCTAAATACTAAGGTTGCGTACAAATGTAGTAGTATTTTGATGGTCTACGCTTGACTGTGATAGCCTAGAGTAGCTGGGCTGAAAGCTGCTCCACTGAAACCATTTTAAAACCCGGATAGTAAAAGCTAAAAAAGAAAGATGACAAGCGTGTCCGGGTTCTCTGCGGAATAAAAAATTTGCATCTGATAAGTGAATTTGTCAAACAATGAGCACTGCTAACTCTCGTAGAATCCTCTTCTTTTAAATTTTAATACTTGAAGACTTCTTTAACAATGCTCGTACGTATAAACAAAGATTCAAGTAAAAAATTCTGTAATTGAAATCGATCATATATAATAAATATGCATCCTTCTCTGCATTTCAGTCAATATTATTTTCTGAACGTAATATACATCAAATTTTTAAAAATAAATTTCGTTGCATCATAGCTGTGATTACAAAATCATATCTAGTAACCCTAAAGCTGAGGTGAATATCATTTGGTCAATATTTTTGATCAACTGTGATTCATGCTTATACAATCAGAATTAAATTCAACTCACATGAACAAATTTTTATTTACAACAAAAATTTCAGGAAAAATCGACTATGTCATTGACGCTGGTTTCTTAGGCAAAACATTGGCACATAGTTAAAATTTGGCCACTCAAAGACCGCGTTGTCTTTATAATAAGAGTTTAATTCATCATATGAACTACGTAGCAACAAAGTTCAGTCTTACTTAACAAGATTGCACAATGACAATTCTACCTATTTAGAAAAAACTTTTTAGTGGGCTTATTTCAGGAAAGCTTCTTTGCAAAGCAATAAAAAAAACCAAAGTTTCTACAAAACCATAGAATAACCAGATGTGGGACTTGAAAGTTGGATCTTTAATTCATAAAAATGGCGAGCAAAACATTCGACGCGAAAGTTCTGTTAACAAGTTTATGATGATATTGGATTGAGAGCGAGGGAGGCTACCGAATACTTGCCCAAGTAGGCAGACGTTTGGCATGAACAAATATCAACATTATTTTCAAATTGTTGAACGGATTATCAATTCGTCAACAGCGCGTTACAGAAATCAGGGCGTAACATTTGAAAACTAGTGTATACCAATATTTTACCTAGTCTATGCCCGGTAAATAAATGCAGTAAAAAATGTGAGGAAACATTTACAATTCGTTTGATATTGGTCCAATTTTCCACCGTTGCTGCGTATCGCATGTTAATATCTGCTACAAATGAAGTTCATGACTAAATTCATATTTAAAGCAAAAACTCAATTTGAACCCGCAGTTATTTGCTCTAGAAGAACTACACATCCCATTGGTTAAATCAGTTTGTGTGTGTTTTCTGCGTAACATTTCACATATAAAATAAACACAAGATAATTTTACGTAATATCATTAGAAAAGGAATAAAAAAATCATAAATGTCACTACCTTGGATGATTCAACTCCTAACTGCTTGCGCCTGCGACGTAATATCCAAAAATAAGTGAAAAAATGCAGCATTCATGATTTTCATTGCCACGCAAGAGCGTTTCATGACATGTTCACAGCAGAGACCAATGTTGAAGATGCAGCGAGAGAGGGTTCAGTATCATGACCTTCAGTTTAAACCTAGAACAAATGTATAACAATTTTCATCGCCTTTCTGGCTACACAACGCTCAAAGAGGAACAAAAAAATTCTAATATATTTCACGGTTAAAAGGTTTGGTATTTATTCTAAAATGTGCAGCATCAAGAAATACCATCATGCACCCGCTGTTATTTCTGCCTGCCCAAAACATTATGTGAAGCTTTAAATACATTAACTAATGACGTTTTGATTTCAAAAAATTATGCCAAATGCTGACAAGTGGCCCAAGAAATGTTGGGAACGTCCACAGAAATCGAGCGAACTTTAGAAAATTTGGACCCACGAGTCTTACTGAAATTTGCATACAGAATCAAATCTACCAAAATAAACTGCGATTAATGACCAGGATGAAGAGACGGGAAGATTTTGCTGGAGCGAAAATGGAGGCACTTAAAATTCATTCCTCAAATGTTTAGCTAACCATTCTAAAGCACGACGAGCTCCAATGACGAGATTATTAATGAAAGAAAATGGACTTTAAAATACCAGTTCAAAACAGAAAGCAAATCGAATAAGTCCTTAATAAAAATAAACGCGAAATCATTGCTGGAAAAAAGACAGTGAACCATCCAAGATGTTCAATAAAATAAATAGAAAGATTATTTACTGTGAGTGTTCTTGACACTTATGATCGAGAAAGTCATTGTAAGATATTTTTCTTCGTCAAATAAGGAATGAAGTAAAGAAGAAAGAGAGTGAACGAAACACAGCAAAGAGACTTAGCTCGGTAGATTCGGGTGCCGTACGACGTACATGTAGGCAGAGTGAAAGGAATAAATCAATGACATACAAAAATATTTTAATGAAACAAACAAGTCAGTCGAATTTAAAACAAGTAAATTCATTCGAATATCAGTCCCCACAAGGTTTAGCTACAATCATTTGAACACGCTCGTTACAGAATGCCTATAATAAGTTAAGCATCGGTGTTTCAGGGCACTGCATGGTACTCGTGACAACTCAATTGTATCTTTCGCCTCCGTGTTTCGTCACCAACATCAAAGATGTAACTTCGCGATAACTTTATGCCTATGAAGAAACTGATGATAAGTTTTAACTGGAAACGTTGAATTATTTGTTTAGGGGATTCAGCATGCATGAGGGTTTTTGGTGAAGAAATATGCTCAATAGTAAATCTTGTTCACATTACATCATTGACTTCCGTGTTTCTTTTGGCCATCGGTCATTGGAAGAATAAGACACACCAACAAAATTATGTAAAGTCTAAGAGAAAATCGTTCACCGACCTATAATTCTATATTGCGAATAGGAGCAAAAAGAGGCTAAGAGGGATCAGCGAAAAATGCCATCCGGCAATGTTATCCTATTTATTAAATTTGAAATTTTGCTAAGGTGGGAAGACGATTGGCACAACGATGTTTCGGATCACTCGGCAGTGTTTAATGCGGAAATAAATACATCACACTTCATAGGAAAACTAACACTCGAAATTATTCAAGATTTCTGAAATTTCTGAACCGTTAAACAGTTCCTAGATTTTAATGATCAATAAGATCAGTTACTAAATAGATGCATGGCACTATCATCGGGGCTGAAAACGGAATTTTCTAGTTGCAACGCATAGCTTGATATGCTGATCAGCAAGAAACTATTTGCTCACAATTTCGCCAGTAATGCGATTAGTAGTAATCATTGTCAAAAAATTTTAAGGGCAACACCGGCATTCAGTTGGTTGCTCCAGATTACAGCACGAAAATGAACATGGATGAAGGTAAAAGTTTATAAACTCAGACATAGGCCGTTCATACAGCCTGTTCGAACATTTGTACGTGCTTCTGGGATGACGCTTCCTCTAAAGAAGTGCGTTAATCTTCATTGAAGTACAACAGTTGCTAAGAATAAACTTTTACCTCGTCAACTCAAATTTTATTTATCCTAATCGTCGAATCCAATCACAGATTAGTCTTTTCCTATTATCATTTCTGTTTCCAAAAGCACAAAAAATTAAATAGTTTCAAAAATTCTTTTAATGAAATTCCCCAGTCATAGGTGGAAGAAACGGAAGTAACATTACAGCCGAGGAAGAGAGAGCTGAGGAGCTCTATTGGTTGACGTAAGAGACTACACCATGCGTCTTGCTCTATCCTTGTGCTGGTCCTGATGCTGCGAGTTCGTCGTGTGCAGTTCAGTAGCCAGTTTTATGCTGCTTATGCTGAAGATAGGACGCTCTGGAAAGTAGCAAAAAAAGTGAAATTATAATTTAAGAGTCAGTATATTATAGTTCTGCTTATAGAGATCATTATTAAGATTGATTAGATTGAGAATAGAGAAGATTTTGAACCATACAAGTAAATAATAATTGTATAATCTGCTGTTTTTTTTTCTCACCGGGGTCTAAAGAGAAGGCGAGCTGGGAGAGATCACCGAAATACTTGTGTCTGAGTGCTGCATCGCAGGATATTCTGCGCGCGGGTAAAATCTGCGCGAGAAAGATCATAATTTTGAATATCAGGGCAAGATCCCACCAGACACGGAAGAAAGGGTAGTAACGAGAAAACAGTTAAATGAAAATCTGAAGAACAATAGTGAATATGTAATAATTTTGGAGATCTACACAAACTTTGCAAAAGGTTAAAAGGTAATCATTTGTAATAAATGTTTTACGCATGAACAAAGCGTGTATTATCTATATTCGTGACTTAATAAGTCGGAAAACACATTGAAATTAAAACAAAAAATATCGAGTCAGACCAAGCGAGCATAATAACATCAGAACAGTATCCAAACATCTCACGGTATCTAAAATTTTTTAAAAGTTACGGATTCGTGGGTTAAATTGAACAGGCATTCGAGAACGTCCCTAATCCATTAAGTAAAGACTAAATTCAACACAGTCGAAATCCTAGCCCACAGAAGTTTTGGTGTAAATCTTACAGATGATGGCGAGGGAAAATAAAGTAAGAGCAGAAGCAGGGAAGACCGGGAGCAAAAGTCCCACTAACTTGGCCTAATAGCGCCGTAGCGAGAGCGAACGACGCCCGCGCTGGCATGAATATTAAAGAGACGCCCGTCGGAATAAGCTTCTTCTTGGGCACCTGCTTCACGCACGTAGTCTATGGCTGTCTAACACGAATGGCTTGCGAGATTTCATTTACAAAACTTAAAGTTATTTTACCTAGAGTGTTGACATTGGCATATTACAACAGGTGTGCAATGGGAGCGCGAACAAATCTTCACCAGCGCCATATATTCCGATGTTGCAACTGTCCTACTTACAAACAAGACGACAAAGTCGCAATGACAATCAAAACGAAAGACAAAGATAACCACTGGCATCATGCGATACCCCTTGCGATGAGAAGATTACTAATGTAAAATACAAAATGTACGAAAAAAAAAGATTTTAGAGGAGCGATTTTCCTTTACTTATTCGGAAGTAAAGGAACCCATGGCAGCAACCCGTAGCAGCAGCAGCAGCAGCAGCAGCAGCAGCAGCAGCAATATGTTATTTAATAACAAGGCAAAGCTCAATACCTGTTTGCTGTAAAAAATCACCAATGAAATCTTTTACAATAATACGGTGTGTCATTAATTATCACTTATTCTGGTTCATTATTTAATTAAAATTCTTCATAGTGCATTTCTTAACCCTTGGCACATTTAATCATTACAGATGTTATAAATGAATAACAACTGAAAAAAACGAAAACGAGAGAAGTTAGAAAGTGAACCCGAACACAAAACTAAAAGACTATTTTTAGAAACCTAATTCTGTATTTTTTCCCAATAGAATGCTATTAAGAATGGAATCAATCCGAAATGGAAACTTATTTTTCTAAAATTAACTAGTCATCGAAATATATCCTTTAAAACTCAAGCATCATGCCTTGGGAAGCATGAAGCAATGTCAAGAGGTAGAGAACCAACATGTGAGTATATTCCAGCACAGCAGGTCTCATATCATACAATTGGATTTACCACATGAATAATCGAGCAGATATCAAGTTCCAGAACATTTGGGGTGCCGTCTGCAAGTGTGTTGTGGGTGACCGACTAGGCTTACTCATTAGCATTCGTTTCGGGCGCTGAGTAACATAGCAGGCTGTGCGTGATCAAACATCAGAATGGAAACAGAAATTTAGCTTCGGTTACTCTAGTGAAGTTTTACCATAGAAATTAATGTCTGATTTCACAAATCGTTAAAACGATGACGAAAATGATATACAAAACTACCCTGAAATTTCAATAGATAAAATTCCATAGATTTTCACAGATCGAAAGGAGGATTGGAAACTAAAAACAATATGCAACGAATCAGAGTGCAGGCTAAAGATAAATATGAGAACGGAATCGTAAAAAAGACCGAATCTAGCTTTCTTTAGGCGTCATTTAGCTACAAAAGCATCAGCGTCACGGCACAGAAGCCAGAATTTATAATCAGACAATCCAGAAGCTCGGAGATCAGATCTCCAATCAACGTCCCAGCGCGAGAAGTCCAACCCCGAGTTTCAGGAAACAAAAAAAAAATATACAACAATCTTCAGGGTTAATGTGACAACAAAGTCCTTGATGCTGCGGTCAGATGCAATTGAGAGCACTCGCCTCAGACGACGACCCTCGGCGTTTGCCAACAACGCAAGAGATTCTTGCGGCAAGGAAAAGAAAACCAAGATTTGCCCCGAGATGAAGTGAGCCTTATTACGACGGGTCACAAGCCTTGACCTCGGAGCTCGTACCTCGAGCATGAAAAATCTTTATTGTTTCAATATAAATTTTATTCAGACGTGTCCGAGTGTCCTGGCTATGCCGCCGCCGTAACTAGAAATACTCGTAGAGTCACAAGATGAGGAAATGCTCGCTCGCAGAGAGACTTGGCGTTCTCTAATAATGGTACTTCTTTAGGCGGAATGATTGCTCGTCACGGCAAAAAATATTGCTCTTATTAGACTACCCTTTATTTTAGAGGGTTTCAAATAAATAATCCTAATCCTAATAACTTGGATAATAAATGGACAAAAGGTCGTAATCATAGGAAGATGATTGGTGTTGAACGATATTTTTGCAAGTAAATAAATGATGCTTTTGGTTACCTGGAGGAACATGGAAGTGAGGGCTTCAGCCGAGGCGACCTCTTGCAGCCGAGGGAAGGCAGCGGACAAGCGTCTGGGGCGGTAGAGGACGAGGCGATGAGGTCGGTACTGAGGCAGGAGGGACACCCCGGGGTAGGTCGCCTCAGTGGGGGTGCCTACAACCTGTCACGACAACATCGACATGTACATGGAGATCAAAGTAGGAAGCAATCGATGGTTGTATACTTTAGCCGCTGAAATGTTAAATTCTTATTGTGCCTATTACTGAAATTGGTGCTGTTTTAGATTTTAGGATGTAGCAGTACTGCTATCCAGACATGCGAAGTTTCGAAAGAACACACAACCGAAAAAGGCAGTTTGACACACTGGTGTGACAACAAGGTGATGTATCTACAGATGAGCCGGTAAATGGGAATCACTTGTTCATGAGAATGCACTTCGTAGTATGGGACTACACTCACCTTGAAAACCTTGTCGAGTTGATCATGCACATCCCTGACGCCGGGGAAGGCGGGTGCCCCCGTGATCATCTCGACGAAGATGCAGCCGACGCCCCAGAGGTCGAGTGACGTGGTGTAGTCGGTGGAGCCGAGCAGCACGTCAGGGGGACGGTACCAGAGCGTCACCACCTCGTGGCTGTACGTGCGTGACGGAACTGACTTGGCCCGTGCCAAGCCTGGGGCGCAAAGGGAGCTTAGTCACGTACAACTTCAAAGCAATTTAAGAAATACCAGTTGGAAAAGTGTACGGATCAATTAAAAATTAAAAAGAGTGTACGGAATATAGACTGAAGTAGGGAATAGTTGAATAAGTGCGAGTCTTTAATGCTATACCTTAAAACTAACATTTTTGAACAAAAAAAAAAACAGTGGTTTTGAAATGGTGTACATCGTAACTTCCTCATTTTTCCCGCAGGTAATAGCAGGTAATAGGCTATTTCCAGAATGACGGTCGATATTTGCTGAACAGAATTGCTTTCATTGCGAAACTAAAAGTAAAAAATAATTAAATATCTCACCACAATCAAGAATTCGAAGAAGATATAGGCTCTAGAAAGAATTGGCGGTAAAGACTGCGATTGAAGATATTACGCAAATTGAATGCCTATAAATTCATACAATAGGCCTGTAACGAAAGAAAAACATTTTTTGCGATGTAAAACAAATTTCTATCATTCCCTCATCCCTGAAGAATCATTAATGAGACACTAAATCTTCTCACCGAAGTCAGCAATTTTGAGTTCGCCGTTCTCAGCGATGAGCAAGTTCTGCGGCTTGATGTCCCTGTGTAGGATGCGGCGTCTGTGGCAGTAGGCGAGGCCTCGCAGTAGCTGGAAGAGAAAGAGCTGCACGTTGCGGGGATGTAGGCCGCCACTGTGTCTCTCCAGGTACTGTGATAGGTCCGTGTGCTGGGTACAAGAATAATGCGATTAATTATTCGTAATGTAGATGTTGTGTGTTAAGACCATAAGGCGACAACAATGTAATATAAATAATACGTTTTCGGCACATCAATGCTATTTACCTTCAATATGAGAATAATTGTTATAACGCGTTAATATCGACCAAACGCTTTAAATCAGCTTACAAGTTTAACGCCATCAATGATCAGCTATCATGCCATAAATTTGAGGTATATGGAGGCCGAGAATATGGGTCAGCGATTTCAAGTACCTAATAATTACTTCAACAAAGTCTCGGATGCGAATAATGACCCTTCGAGAAACTTAACAACCGCTTTGTGGACACGCATACAAACAAAAATTATTAGAATACGAATGCATCATTTTTCCATGTTGTATGACCATGGCATTTCTAAAGAATCAAAGAGACACGCTTAAATACCAGACAGAATGAGGTCGGCTGACACTTGAACTTACCACGTATTCGAATACAAAAGTGAGCGTCTCTCTGGTGTGGATGATGTCGTGCAACGTGACGATGTTGGCGTGCTTGAGTTGCTTCAGTAGGGAGGCTTCTCTAATCGCCGTAAAGGGAGCGCCTTCTTCCTCCTGAAGGCGGATCTCCTTCAGCGCCACCACTTGGTTCGTTAGGCTGGAATAACGGGTTAAATTTTTTGACTTACCGTAATATATCAATAAGTGAATCGAACGAATTTTCCAGGGAAAATTTTAAAAATATTTGTCTCTTTCACATAGACGTTTTTTTAGAAGTATCAGACTTAAGACTTATCAGTACGGGACTGCCGAAGGGCTGGAGTCCAAATGCTATATCGACATTAGGGCCGTAATTTTGGCATTCGTCGCATTCTTGCCAAAAAGCAATGCTACATCGACGCACTTCGCACAAGGAATCCATTCAACGGCGCCATGTTCTAAATGCAGCACCTCCAACATACGGCATTCACAGAGCAGAAATTGATCGAAGCCATCCCTACGATGCAGCGTCTGCTGCATACAAGACCAGTGGTCATCAGGGTGTTAAACTGAACCATTAGAGTGGCCGCCTATGGTAATGAACGCTCCGGCGTTAAGCGGCTCTCGGAGCTCTTCAAATAAAGCCGACAACAATTTGGCGTGATGATCGCGGTCCTTTGACTTCGCGTTTCCGTTGAGAGAGGGCGATACAGAAACGCGGTTTTAATTAAACTCACACAGAGGATACACTAAATGAAGGATAAAGAAAGTGAGTGTTAGATGTCAATGGCATCTGCTCCCAACATTGCTGGCAAAAAATATGTGACGAATTCGACCCGGATTTAGCTACTTCCATTATTGCTATCAATAAATTGACTTTAAAATCACGGTTAATTAACCAAAAAATTGACAAGAAATTAACTCGCAAATCAAGCAGTATTCCTCCAGGAAAATATGCTGGAGCAATAAGCATCCGAAACTACCACTATCCCATGATTCTCTTGTGGTATAATGAAGATATCACGACGAGCTCAAGCTTTGTCAAATTATCACATTTATTGACCATCTGAAGCTTAAAACTAGCAATCATCAACAAATAATTTTACGATAAAACTGGACCCGTTATTGCTGACGATGGCATAGCTAAGCTAAGCAACAGGCTCCTCGCATTACAGGTCTTTCTCGTCCCCACAGCCGCAGTTGTGCGGTGCAAACGGTCGTCGTTAGGTCGAGCAATACGTAAAAAGCGACCAAAAGCAGCGATGAAAAAGGCCAAGCTTAAAATAGAAGCCATTGAGGGAACTGGTGGCCATTGAGGGAACTGCCGCGACCAGACTCTCCAATATTGCAATGGGAATCAAGCTGGTCGTGATATTTTTATGAAGGAAATCGTAGCCACCATTGATGCAGCGAAGACATCTCTAATTGCAACGCCGACAGCGCGAGGCTCGGTCATTTTAAATTCTTCGTTCCGAAATGCTAGAGATTGTAAAAAAGAGACAATCGCTCGAAGACAATTTCATGAAATGATCTCGCTCGTCAATGTTATAGCGTCAATTTGCAGGAAATGAACGAACAAGAGGACCAAACGGAATTAAACTCCTCGATGTAACTTTCCTTTGAGTGGCTAGTGTTTTCCGCGTTTTAATCTAGATCAGCAATAATGAAATCCTGTACAAAGGGCTAAAAATTATACAGAAGATTTGGTGAAGATGACTGAAAATTTTCCGACCCAAGTTAGAAATTGTAATACCATATCCCGGTAAAAAGTAGGGAAATGTAAAACTGCTGGAATGTCATTGTGAATCATGAGGATTACCGATTAAATCACATTTTTCAATTTAGATGAGGGATCGTGTGCAATATAACAGTAACAAACAATAAACAAACAAATAAAAACAATATTAATTAGATTATTCAATGAAACCAGCAACCCGACAACGCTGGCTCCCTGGTCAGATATTGAAAAACTTTACGATGTTTCTTGAAATAAATTTATAAGTTCAAATCATCCAATAAAAAAGACTTGACAACGAAAGATTCACATCAGGCTGACTTATTAAGGACAAATCTACATGTTATTGCCAGAATATTTAATTCTGGAAGCAACCACTTTTCAGTATCAAATTTCAAATAAACTATTTTTTCAGCAGGGTATTAAGTGAGAAGTGAGATTGAGCCTTGCCAAAGAAGCGAAGAGCGGCGCAGTGAAGACTTCAGGCGAGGAAAGTTTAAATTTGTGCCTGCTTGAGATCAAGTTTCAGCGAACAAAGTGTTCGCTTCGTCGTTGAAACCGCAGCCTTCAAACAGGACCAGAAGATGGAGCCATCTTACTCCGAAATGGAACGGAGTATTTCGGTTATCGTTCATCGTAAAAACAAAATGGAAGTTCAATAGAAAGCATGCAAAGCATTTTATGAAACCATGATGAATTTTATTTAAATGAATTAAATTTTCACTAAAGCAGAAGAAAACTCTAGTATCATATATTAAACTCTTCATATATTAAACTTCACGTTGCATGCAAGTAACGCAAAACAAAATACGCTATTAATTTACTAATAATAATAATCATTTTATTTGGGTGTCGGGTAAATGATAGTAATAAACGATTCAAAAATATGAGTTCGAAACGAGACTGATTACGGTACCTGATACAGGCAATTGAATCATGCACAAACTATTCAAAAAAATTTTTGCTCCATTATTAATTGCATAATTAGCCTTCTTTAAGAAAATAATTGTTTGCTTTTTATATTCTAGATGAAACCAATCTGGCTGACGAACGCCTGCCTGACATCCGATGTTAACGAGGCAAAAGGCAGAGTTCAATCTTTTAAGGAGGGCAGAATTAGATCCTTCCGAGATTATTCTGAAGGCAGATCTAATTGTAGGAGGGAAAGTTCGTAAAATCCGTGCCTTAAAACATTATGAAGTTCGTTGCAAAAATAGACAAAGAACCTAAATTTCGGACAATGGATGGGAATTCTCGTCAAGAAAGTTCATGGGACTCTTCATGTTAATGGGAGAGTGGAGGCATGAAAACCCGTCAGTAATTTTCAAGTGAAGAATATTGCGGAAAAATAAATAGTTTCTCACTGCACCGGCAAACTTTAATTAAGAAACGTCGTCCTGGCATCCCCAGGAAAACTAAAAGAATGGGAATTCTTGAATGATCGGAATAATTTGAGTTATCATATTCTCATTCCTTTCACATATCCTTAGTTTCAAAATCCGTTCAAAAATTCTTAAAAACGATAAACTAAAATGTGAGCTACGCTTAGAAAATAAAAACAGTTTAATCCTAATATTTGAATGGCATCTACACAAGCTTAATCAGAAATAAAACATTTCAGGCCGTTGTAATCAGATAACGCCAGCTTGTAATCATTTCTTTCTTGGGTAGTTGACTTAACGACTTCCACTTACCACGGCCCCAGTACAGATGTTCAATCCACTTAGCCCGCCTGGCCTACGCCAAATGGACCAAAAGAAGAACATGATTTACTCTATCTTCCAGACGGGCCGGACAGACAACTTCTCGCAGCCAACCTAACAAGCAGCGTCCTAACCCAAGAATAATTAAATAATATATATCAACGACAATATCTTTATTAAAGGAGGCGAGAGGCCCGTGCAAGAAAATATTCGAAACGTCGTGACCAAGCGACCTACGTGGTTTGCCTCGACTGAAATTCACTGGATAAACTTAAATCAAAACAAAACGCTTGAAGTTAGGTCATTTGTATTCCCATTAAGTTCAATTGAAACCTTTGAGACTCAAGGGGTGGATTTGTCGACAATTGGCTGCCAACACAACTCTGCGTTAATTGTCTTTAGTTTAATTGACCAAACTTTCGAAGTCCCGATAAGTATAAGATTCATTGTTGAGTAAAGGACAAGACTATACTAGTATTCCCTGGAGAGTTGACGCACAAGAATACAGCACTGTATTCTATTTTTCGCTTGATTTTTAAAGAATCTTTCATGTCCCTAACATTCGAGTAGTCAAAGTTAGATTGGTAATCATTGGGCTAGATGCTCCTTGTTCGTCAACTCGTTTCAGAAAAAAAATTGACGAACAGTTAAAAATTGTTTGAAATAATGTCTGAAACACATTATTTGAATTTCACATTGAAAATCAACTGGTATGTTTCGTAATGCATTGTTGTAACCCGTTATATCCCGTTAAAAAGATGCAAATTGAAAGGAACTCTAAATCTCATGTTTCGTCAGGGATATCTCACCTCGTCTCAGTATCGTACCGGGTGTTTATTTAAAGCTTAAATTTGTATCAAATTTTATCGTCAATCGGGACTAGGCTTTCAGAATCGTCTTGCCTCTAAAAAAATATAATGATTCGCAGAGGCTCAGTTACCGCCGTATCATTTGCACAGTAAATGACATCGAGTATCGCTGTAGCGCCATGCCCTGTGGAGTAATCATAGTTTCGAAGAAGCAACTCATTTTTCTCGTCGAAAATTTCTCGATTGGAGGCGTCATTGGCAGTAAATTATCACGGGACGGCAGGAAATGATCTCAGCCATAGACTGACGATAAATTCAGCGATCGTGAGCGTAAATTTGGCATTGTCGGTCGTAAATTAGACGGTGATATGGTTCAAGCTTGCGAGCGCTCCCGCAGCATCTGTGAGATCACATCCAGCTCCGGGGGGTATTTTATTATTTAGGAAATACTTGGAGAGGAGCTCTCGATGATGAGGGCCTCTCGTGTGGCAAAAAGCAGTTGTTAGGAGACGTAAAGCCTGCTTGGTGAGACCAGAATAAATTGCTGGCTAAAACGGTCATTTTGTTTGAAGCGGGTAAACGTGTAATCATTGAGAAGATAATCTCTAAACAACCAATTTGGCTAACCAGAGATTATCACAATTACTTTTAAACAATAAGTTAACACGTTCAATTTCACTTCAAGATTTCTATTTTAAACACGTATTTAAATATGAATGAATAAAATATAAAATACTATTACGCTGGGATAGGATGAGCGATTACCATCTACATAATAGAAACATGAAGGGAATTGCTCAAATCAGAAAAAAAATCTAAAATAAGTGCAGAAAACATGACCCAACATCGATTCCGATCCTAAAAAATATAATCTGCCAGATCCCAAGTTTTAATCCAGACGAAATGAGTTTTTTACTGCGTAATCGAATAAGACTACCCAGGCGCCGGTGCTTCATTAAGTACCAGGAACGTGCAGCGAGAGCCGGAGGCGCTAGCAACTAATATCGCGCGACACTTCCATTACAGCGGACGGTCGCTTCGTTCGACCTCACCGATAAGCTCCGCTGGTCCGCGAGCGGACGAGCTCACGAGACGATCCGGAAGTAAAATAAAACTTGGAGATTAAAAGAACCGGGGCCATACTTTCAAAATTCGCTAAGTGAACGTAAGTACTTAGGCTCTATTTTCTTGTCTATGATTGGTAGATTTTGCTTAAAGGCCGTCAATGATTGGCTGAAGATCTTACGATCTCTTAATTTTTTTAAGTATAGGCCCAGAAGATTAATTTACAGGACATATTTTTAAAATACTACGAAAATCAAATGCGGTATTTTCAAATGATTATGAATGCTTTACGAAACAATTTTGAATTTATCAAACAAACAATGAATTTATGAAAAGAAGAGAGTGCACAATCGAGATACATGAATGACAACATTGAACAACTTCTGAAAGACTACGTGATATTAATGAAAACAATTGAATGACGTCGTCTATAAAATAGGGAAGAAGTAACGCAGCATATTGCACGAACAAAAAATTATTACAGTACGAATGGTTGGAGCGAAGATCAGAAAAGCATGAAAATAGTTGAAATGTTAGCACCGCTAGATCACAGCAGAGTAAATAGCTCTGCATAGTTGTTTTATTAACTTAGATGACGGGACGCGTTACTTACTTGCTGTAGCCTTTATACACAGTCGCGTAGGAGCCCTCGCCCAGTTGGTCCAACTTGATGTAGGCTTCCGTCCGGCCAAACGGAGAGTCGCCCTAGGCAGAAAAAATTTTCAAAACCAGATCAACAAACAAATTTAAAACTCTAAACCACAATTACATACATCAAAATTTTCAGAATTTCAACGGATTTATCATCAATTATCTCATGCAGACGAATAATCCTTGAAAAGAATTGATTTATAAAAAATCGATAAAGCGGATTTTATTGAGCGAAACTGCTCCAAAATATTCGTTTAAAAAAATTTAAAACCACGCATAATTCGGAGATGGGATCCCCGCAGGCGTGGGTGGTACTGTCCTGCCAAGCACGCAAGGGTTGGTCCTCACAATTGCCAGAGTTAAAGTAAAGACAACGGTGATGTCCAAGCACCAGGTCGTTCATTGCCTCCTCTTTGCTAGATTGCTACTGAGGACGGAATGGCAAAATACGGCACTGAAAAGTGTGGTCGTGTCACGCTTCTATGGGCAAGAGAGTGAGGGAGTTCATACGAACGTAGGAGTTGATAGTGAGGGAGTTGATATTGAGCAAAAATTATTCAATTGGTAAAATTTACTCGTCTGTAGATACATTACACCATAGGTAAACCATCGACCGAAATAAAGAGTACAGTTACAAAATAATTAAAAAGTTTTCTTCAAGTAAGCTTGGTGAGAAAAGTTTCTTCGGGTGGATGATATCACATGCTAAAAGGATCGACGGTCTCTAGTGACGCTGAATGGAGTAACGTCGCCTGGCGACAATGTGGCAGCACCGAAGCAAGCCAAGGTGCGGCCGTGTAATAAAAATACACAACGATGCCTTGAAGATTTATAGTTATTGATGGTTCTGCGGCCTGCGGGATAGCAAACAAAGAGCGTTTGGTGCCGACGCCGTTTGCAGGATACGGCTGATGGAATCTCATGAACATTGAGTCGTTCCTTCAGCACGAGGCGCTCAGGTTACTAAGAGATGCCAAGTTACCAGGCAAGTTTGATGAAGAAGACGTGCATTTATAACTTGTCGGTGTTTTGTCGACAGAACGTGAAAATGCAGGAGAGAGAGGTCGAACTCCATTGCACAAGATTCGCAAAAATAATAAAAGATAAAGTCCGTCCGGAGCAAAATTCCAGTTTCGATTGCTTAGATCCGGAATGTTCTGATGCAGGAGTAAATAAGATCATGAGAGAATTAAATTATAACTTTATCAAGATCACTTGTAAATTCAGACGTTCAATGCCTTATATTCCTAGAGTCAGGATATGTTATACCTAATTTGCTACTGATCTCAAGAGAATTGGATACACTCTATACTCCCCGAGTCTAAAAAGCTAATAAAAACCTACTCTTAATTCCATGTGTCAAGTAGGCTAAAACTGATACGTAGGTCATTTGTTTCAGTAGTTTAGGTGGCTGCGAAGATATATGCTCTTAATTTGATTAGTCTGGTGAGCTTACAATTACTATGATTTTCTGAAGAGTCTATTAGGATCTTACATCTTCTTCATTCTAGGTGACAAAAAAAGCTAAGAATTGATAGGCCCTTTATTCGAAGTCAAGTCAGCTAAGAACTGATATGGTCTTCATTCCAAGACTCAATCTAAAGTTAGGCCACGCAGGAAAGGTTGGTGCAAAAGGAGGCCCACCAGGATGAATAATAGATGGCCATGAGAGGATCTGCAAGATTAATGGCCTTCAAGCAGTCACCGCGAGCCTCCCAGGTATTTGTAGACAAACGATGTCTTAAGCGGCCTGGAAATGAAGTAGATTGCTGCCTAACGCAAGGCATGCAAGCGGTGCGGTCATTGATGCACGGATAAAAGGATGTTCATGTTAACCTAATGGGCGTAATTCACCCCATGCAATGGACTTATATTTACTACAGCAAGTCGGCAACTAAACAATACAGTAAAATTAAAGCGAGTAAATTATCTACCTAAAATCACAGAGATCCTCCCTTAAATATAATACATTCCTTACAGGAGTAATCTTAAACATAATTATAAATTAAATTAGAATTAAATACTTTATAATTCACTTGCGTAAGAAACTCCTAGGAACATCGTTGATGAAAAGCAAAAATTACTAAATTTAAAAAATTTACTTGGTACTAAAAATTTACTTGTTACTATAATGAGTAAACTGCATACTCGGTATATGAAACTTCGAATTGGGAATTTAAACACCACATAATTCGAATAATTGTTTAGGGCCACTAATTGTTTTACTTGAGAGATCATGAGAAAAATTATTCAAAAAACAGTTATAACTTTATTAAAATTATTTATATATCATGAACAACTGAAACGTTTGATAATTCAGGGCAATAATCCCCTAATAAGCATCGAAAACTGACATTTTTAGATCAAGCAGTGTAACCAAAGAACAGAATGAACATGAACAGAACAGAACAGAACAGAACAGAACAGAATGCATGCAAAGCGAACAGAACTGACGTGCGCTTCAGAGCAACGCGGCGTCCAATGAAAAATTAACCGAACAAACGAGCACCAAGCAAACTATGAGGGAACCTCCGTCGCTAGATAATATTATTGCATGGCCAGAAATGGGCCAGTGGGTCAACAAACTCGAGCGTCGAAGTTATTACAACGCAAGCAAATATTCCGGGGCAGTCGGACCCGGCAGCCGTCACTGCCTCCATAACCCCGCTAACGTCAGACGCAGCCGTTCCCTCAGGGCGTATAGCCGCCTCAGTTTTGTCCAGGCAAGCAAAAATCTATTCCCTAGGGAGGACACTGAGAAATAATGGTCTAAATGCAATTCCAAAGCTGGCTGTAAAAAAGAGTCGCGGTAATGCAGAGAGAATTGCATTATTGGAGTCATTGGCTGGGCATGGACCCTGGATTGTGCGGTGATATGCCATTCAGGATGCCGTGAGCGCTCTGAATGAAGGATAAAAGTGCTGGCGCAGGGAACAGGAAAGTGCTGGAGCAGGAAAATTAAAATAGTGGTAGAGTAAAATTAAATAACTCGAAAATTTTACATCAAGCAAGTTAGTGTAGATATTATTCTTGAAAAAAAATTCGTTAGCAGCGAAAAATTTTTTTGAACGAAATCAACGTTATCAACTACAGGGCATTAATTGATATATTTTCATTTGTGGCATGTCGAAGTTTACTTAAAGTATCTTAAATTTTTTCACAGTTTTTTTAGATCTCATATTATCTTTAGATCAAAAAATCAATGGAATCATGATATGTATTTTCAAACAAAATAAAAAATTATGATTACAAAAATCAAACGGTGTCTAAAACAATTAAAAAATCTTCTAAACTTCAAAAATTCTCTACATTTTAAAACGATAAACCAGGTTCAGTGCCGTAAATCTTGAGTTGAGTTACACGAGGAACAATGAAATATTTTAAAGTGCCGAGCAATATCATGAGCGCCACAAGCTGAAGATCAAGAGGAAGGCAATCAGGTCCGCTCTGAGCGCTCGGAAAGAAGAGGACGGACGAAGTATTCACTCTATTGGCCATTGCAGCGGCCGTTACCTTCAAGAAATGGACTCAATAACTTGGGCTATAAAAGCGCTAACTTTCCCATACGAGAAATTTCGGCCGTAAACTTAATGTCGAGAAATGTAAGGGCCCACATACCGCAGCCATGGGAGATTTATGCGCAGGAAAACACGGCCAGGGAAGAATGTGCGTGCGCCCTTAAGTTTAGACAACGGACAGATCTATGGTCATTGGTTACCGGACTAAACCAAACTTAGGTCATCAGCGAACAATTTTAAGACACTAACCTGGAACGAGGAATCGAAAATTTATTACACCCAAGGCACCCGAGTGAACCACGAAATGATTTATACAAGAAATGCGCCTGGGAGCGCCTGTTTGGACATGATGAACGTGAAGGCACAGCGCGGCAAGCAGGGACTTATTGCCGGAATGTAAAACAGTTAACGTGTGCACACAGGCGTCGTGGCTGCGATATTATACGGCTGGAAGTAACGTGATCCTAGTGGTCGAAAAAACCGTCATGTCTAACGATCAGCCTGGGACGGTTAATCTAATAGATAAAATATAATTTGTCTCGTAGAAACATAATTAAATGCCGTTACAATTTTCCCGCTACTCGATAAAGCAGTGCTCAAGCGCGCAAACGTTCATTTCACTAAATTGCGGCTCAGCTAAAATATTCAGAATCAGACAACTCACAAGGCACAAAGAAACGCCAGTTCCCTCGTGAGATAATCACATTAAATCCAATTCTACGCACTACAAAGCTCAGGCAACTAAAGCTAATACCTGCAGAAATGCGTATTGCATGAAAATTAATAGTTATACGACAATGAAAATTGCCATATCCCTGAGCTCATTCCAGGAGACAAAGGCAGCTTGGCATGACTGGTTGGCATTAGCCGCACTTGCCGTGCTCTGTGTGATGCATCGGCGAGCGTATATTGCATTAGTAAACGACATGGGCGTAATTGCCAGTGATTCACCGCGCTAGTGGATGCACTAAGCTATTAGTACATGAAATACAGCTTGTGCGAGGTACGGAAGCCAATAATGATCCGCCTAATTCAGAAAGGTTTATTATACCCGAATTACGTCATTGTAATTTTTCGAAGTCATTCATCGCTTCCTGACGTTATAGCGAGCTCTGATGCTGAATGTCGCAAGGATATCTAAAATGAAATAAAATAAACGTGGCCAAAATAACTTTTAAGACGGCAAGGTCAACGTAAATAATAGAACAAATTATTCAACCTAACGAATTCGAGGAATTTTTGTCACGTGGCGTACTGGAGGTTGCCAAGCTCATTGTTTCGAAGTTTACGTTTTCTGACTGGTGTACCTTAACTTAATATAACATAACTTAAAGGCAGGTTTTAACTCTGTGTGTACTCACCCCGAAAGCTGAGTATCGTTTGGATCTACGTTGATCTTTGCAGAGATAAACTTCAGACTTCGGTCTCGGGGGCTTCTTGGGTCTAAGAAGAATTTTCTGTTCTTCCCTGATGTCGTCGTCTAGTAATTTGGAGTCGGAAGACACCGACAACTGGCGGGACAACGTCTCGTGCTCCACAAGTCTATCCCAACCTGCAATTAAATATTTCCAAGTTATATGAAGAGAAACGGTAAATACAGTATGCTTTTCGTATAGGCTTCGACCTTCACTGGTCTGTCTTCTCCGTTAGAATCTACACATGGTCGGGAGTTCACATATTTACTTTATAACCCTTCGGGTTACATGAATAGTTTGTACCTGTTTATTTCGGTCTTAGTTTTTCCATACCCACGAATAGAAAAATTTTTATTCAGATTGTCATGACTTTAAAATTTTTTACTTCGGTTGTGAGACTTTTGTAATGACTTTAAACTTTTTCAATTCGATTGTGAGATTTTAATGATTGTAATGACTTTAACGATTGTAATGACTTTAATGATTTATAATTTTTTAAATTCCGTCTGGCAACATCGGACCAGCTATTTCAAGGGTATGTCTTATGGTTAAGTTATTTGTTGATTCGCTGTGAAGCTCTTCTGATTCATGGCAAGCGCCTAGATTATCTATTGCATTATAGATTAAGTGTGTCCAATGAGTTAATAATTGCGTATAATTGTCTTGTGTGAATGAGTTTGTTCTTATAATTGTGTAATTAAATGTATTTGTTCGTCGGAGTAAGAAGTCTATCCGTCAATGCACTTCCCTCCTCTGGCCCTCATCTCTACTTCAATAAACTTTCGAACCTCAATAAATCCTATTAAACCCCAACTGAACCATCGAAAGTTCAATCAATAATTTAAGAAGAACCTGCAGCAATAGAAACATTACACAGATAAAATTTGAAGTCATTTGTATTGCTAGTGCACACGGTTACCTTGTCATTGATTAACATCTTTTTCTGCCAAATGAGGATTCTCTGTTGAGACAAATTGCAAAATTTTGCAGCACCAAATTCAAAGGTTAAGACAATTTCAAAGTTGATACAAGTCATCAAATGAAAAAAAAAATCAGGAAGAAATTCTCTTGAGTCTTGACTAAATTTATTTGAGCAACAATTCCAATGAGCGTCCAAATTGTGTGACAATTATTGAAAAAAACAGTAATTTATGCATAATATATAAATGATAAAATTTTATATGAATACAAAACTGATGAGCAAAAAAGAATCATTATATTACTAAACGTGCACATGTACACGAAATAACGACAATTTTTAACGTTTTCAGGTTGAAATTCAATTGATTTATTTATTGATATAATGAAATTTGAGTGAACATTTGGCGACTGTTCAAAGACGAATCTGTAACTGAAGAAACGATGAGGTAAAGAATAGATTAAAACTAAAAGCAATCGGTTTGTCGAGCATTTCTTGGTAGCTCAGTACCGAGAGTGCCAAAATTAAGGCTGAATGTGACTCATTTACATGAGCTGACATCGTGCAGCAGGACTCAATGGGCAAAATGAGCAAAGAGATTTAGGTGCGGGAATGTTCACACGACATTGAGGCTGGAAGACATTTGGTGTCCCGGAATAACCGTCGTAGATTAAGAGCGACACGGGACGCGTAATTCACAAGCGTTGCTAAGTGGCAGCATTAGCAGCTGCCGGCAATCTCCTCCAGCAAGAGCTCGCTACTTGCGCCCTCAGGGCTAAATTAAACTAATGATCACAACTTAATTGCACATTCTGATAATACGAAAACGAAACTTGAATGGGCTCTGCGAGGGTCAATCATAATCCAATTTTAATTTATTTTATGCAATAAGTACAAATTCAATAGTGGAATAATAAGTAGACGGTCGAAATAGTAAACAAAACTGGTTTAGTGCATGGAATTAGAAAAAAATAGAGCGGCTAATGACACACTGCAATACACTCGAATGTAGCCACGCAACTGTAATTGATATCATCAAAAGAATTTTTAATATGAACAGCAACTGTTACGTCCAATTAAATATCATCAGATTGGTGATGCTTGTGTGCATCATAGCTGAGCCTCTCATTTCCCTTTCGCAGTTCTAGGTCGACAGACGAACGAGCACTAGTTGATTTCTGGCATCTAAATATTTTATATTATTAATAGCGAAATTTCTCACGGGTCAAGGGAATGAAACATCCACTAATATCTTACATTAAATACGAGTCGCATCAAATTAAAGGGATCAATATTCACGCAAATCAAAACTGTTCGAAGCAAAAATTATCTGGCATAAATTCATATTTTTAATAATATTCACATGCAGCATCAAAAAACATTCAAAACTAGAGCGCTTACGTACATACATATGTCTCTTCTGAGTAACTCTTCTGAATAACTAGCGCCACTCGAGGACCATAAAAATGCACGCTAAAATTTCTCATAGATTTTTGTTTGAAGTTGGCAAAGCTCTCTAATTGCACAAGACAGTAAATCACACTCCCCCAACTTGGGCTCAGAACTACGCATCTCGCGATTACAGGACATTAAGTGTCGCACCGAACTTCCCGAGCGACTTCAAGAACTTATGGTAGGCAGGCAAAGCGACCAAGATAATTTATAATGAGGCATTAATATCGTTCACTGCAGTTTATCTCGAGTAGATGGTTACGAAAAAGCTTATACATTGAAAGCTTAGGGTGTTAAAATGGGTTCACCAATCAATGAGTACCAACAGCAGTATAAAATGGTTTTGATTGGAGTGGCGTCGTGAGATTTGATTGGTACATTTTATTCTTGCAGTATAATTTTGAGAATGTTTCCTAAAGATAACATCACTTCATGTTGAGTTAATTAAGCGATCCGAATTATTTTGAATTTGTTTTTAACTTATTACTTCTCCTCTGCTGGAAAAAAACATTTCCTGTAATCACTAATCTTTGATGCAATACAAGATTCCTGGCTGTAGTTCTTCAGAATTAAACTTTTCATAACTTAATAATTCAGTGCAAACGACTGATGACTGAGAACAAATCAAATATGACGTGAATATTTTCCTATACTTTTTTCATGACATAAAGATGCCAGCCTGACTTCAACTTTACGACGAGCACCAATGCAATAAATCATTAACAAGCACAGGGCTAAAAGCATCGTCATTCTTAAAGAGACGCTGCCACAAAAGGAAAGCAATAGCGCCAACACTACCAGCGTGAAACACACTATACGCATACGAAGAATTTTCATCGACGTCGAGATTTCTAGGCTAACGTTCGAATCAACACAAGTGCCGGACGTTGGGACTCTCCGGGATTCATATAAAAAAATTTGCCACTTGAAAATCTACAATAAATTGCTTCTTGACAGCTTGGACAGGTCTTCGTAACTCGTGTTCATTGGGCTGCGAGAACTGAAGTGTTGATTCAAGAGCGGGAGTTCGGTCCGGCATACAAATGCTAGACTTTGTTGGGGACGCTGAAGAAAATGTGCTTTGTTTACGCAGCCGTAATTGTTTTCCGAAAGAAATCGACTGACCATCTCAGTATGTATCGGAACAGAGGAGGACCATGTGAGTTCCAGAGTTCGATTGTGAGCAAATTTGTGCAAAATTGAAAGAAACAGGTTGGAAATTTCTCCATTGGGGGAACAGCCTACTTGTTTACTGGCGTTTTGGTTGCATACAAATTGTTAATTGCGTTTTCCCGCATTGGACAGAAATCAATGTAGTCAAAATGATTACTAACGATAGAATTAAAAACGAAGATAATTTCCGTAAAAACACTCAATCGTCGGGCGTATTGTGAAATACTTGCCTGGTGAAATAAAAATGTACGCAAGTCGACACCCAATCAAGAACAAACTCTGATCCTGAATAGCGCACCTACGACAGATCGAGTATAAAAACAAAATGACACATGAATTGAAGCTATGACGAATATAGAACTATTAAATAATAGATACACAAGAGCGAAAAACTAATGTTTTCAAGAAACAAAACTGTTTGAAAGTTTGAAATGATTCGCCAACAGAAACAAGTACATTAACTAACCACGTATTAATTCCAGCTAGAGCAACCCCCAACTGTCATGGAATAAATTATTGACAGAATCAAAATATAGACACGTCAAAATATGGTAGCACACTCGCCGTCAAATCTGAAGCAAAGAGCAAATACGCAACCAAAGAGCAGATAGCCTCACCAAACATGAGGCTGAGCAGCGATAAAAATACAGAGCACATACTCCTCCCGCAAATAAACTTTATGGAGCAGAAAAACACAGCCACAGAGAAAATACACCCGAACAAAATAGAGCGACGGGCTCCGGCACAAGCAACACGGCTATAGTGAACGCAATAGCAGGTGTTACTGTCGTGTGTAACTCTCATTAATTCGTTCACAATAACTAAACGATACCAGCACACGAGAATTTCTCGCGATTCGGGGAGGATGTTTCTTAGATACACAAACTTTAACTCGTCAGTGCGCATGAGTTATTTTGAGTTCATAATTCAATGAGGTAGTTTTTGGCTGCCTTGAGAGAAGATATTCGCATGATAAGTTTAAACCCGAACATGCCATAGCGAGGAAAGCGACGTGACGATGTCTATTTAGGCCTTAGGTTATTCACTGAATATGATATAAAAATATCTCCATTTTGAAATACATTTGTTTGTCAGCAATGTTCAACATTTATCTTATATTCTCATTTATGGATAAAAATATAACTCAGTACTCACTGCAGTGAGTGAGAGAGAGCGCATTTTCTCGTCGACGAAAACGTGAAGTGACGGACGGACAGACTGACGGACGAACAGACGGACGGACGGACGGACATGGCGAGCACAATAGTGCATTTTTTCCATAAATGAGAAAATACGCTAAAAAGGCTCTTTT